GTAAATAAATCGATTTTCAATCAGTTTTTTGCACCAAAGTGTTAATAATAAACACGATTTCACTGAGGCTCTGTGAGAGCCATATGAATGAAATAAGTAATTATTGATATAACAGGAGCAGCGGCTTTGACACCTGGTGGTGGGTGTGTCGATGTGGACGTGACTGTCATGAAGTATGAATGGGAAGGTGACTGGCTGCTGGCTCTGTGTGTATGAGGAAGCGGGTGAGCTGGGTGGTCAGTCCTCGCAAAGTTTGGAGCATAATAAAAATAAAAAAAAAATCGATAATTGTGACAGAACAAAGAAGAGGTTAGGAGTACAAGGACAGATGAGATTCCCCAGTTAACCCAGTGCGGCTGTCTACCACCATTAGTTTGCTGTGTTTTATAATAATAAAACGTGTTTATTATTAACGCTTTGGTGCAAAAAACTGATTGAAAATCGATTTATTTACTGCATGTTTATGTCTGTTAAGGCTCAGATGGAACGCCACTGAAAGCAGCCCTTTAAACCATTCAGACTACGAACACAATAGAGACACCATCAGATGACTGATTACCCCTCGATAATAACTCAATAGTCCATGGAAAAACCTTATAAGCTTGTATATAAAGCAGAAAGTACGGCGGCCACCGTAAAAAGGCTTACAATATTCAATTATGCCGCATGAACTGATCAGTAGATTATTGCGAGGGAACGCAAAACCTTTGCGAGGGAACGCAAAAGAAAAAAAGTTTACATCTTTAATTTAATGCACACTAATATAAAAACCTCTGCTTCCCCCTGGAGGAAAATAATGTAACTGCATTAACACGAGCAAGTCCTTCGCAACTTCCACAAAATGGTGACAAGCGATACATTGAAATAAGTAACTGTATGCAGAAAATTGCTAAGGGTATATATTAGCTTAGCTAATGGGACCTTTGTTTCCCTTTATGATTAACCTACAATTCGTTTTTGCTGTTCGACTGAAACTAAGGACACCACTGCTACCGGAGTTAAATGCTGAAATAAACCAATTAAAAACGTCGTCCATTAATACTTTCTCTACTGGTACTTAGAAATAGTATTTAGGAGTAGGTATCTTAAGCAATTAGTCTCTAAATTCAGAGTATACGAAGCAGATAGTGGAGGAGTGTCGCTGTATAAATCGTAGCATAACTTATTTATTAGCTGAGCTGCTTTAAGGATACATGGCATCATGTGCCGTGTGCTGTCAAGATGCCAGCCATGTGGTGTAATGTCTTCGTAAATTGATTTACTACCTCCATGTATTAAACATATAGTCATTTCACAAAACATATACGTATGTCTGTATATGACCTGAGAAGTCGAGGGTGTATTATCATCTGGTCCCATGGTGTAATGGTTAGCACTCTGGACTTTGAATCCAGCGATCCGAGTTCAAATCTCGGTGGGACCTCATGCTTTTGCGCTGTTTTGATTTGAAACCAATACAAAACTGTTTCAGTAGACACAAAATCGTCCTTAATCTACGTCCACTTCATTTCCTATATGTACATTCTTTAGGAAATTTATGAAGAGGCCTCTCAGGATACTCCATGTATCAAGAACTTTATTTCCACACATTGACAGTTTTAAAATATAAACAGCAGCAATGTGATACATTTCTTTGGATGTTATTTTTTATTTTGGAATGTTGACCTGATACACTGTGTCACACAGCACTTATGTTCCCAGCTGATGTGCTATACCCCATCTGTGCTCTCTGCTGTATGTAAAGTGGAAAGATTTGATTTTATGCTAACTGCTTATGCATCTGGCTTGCAATGACAGCAAACTTGTTAAAACTTCTGTAGTTTTACAATAATGTCTGTAAAGGGTAGTAGTACAACATGAAGCATGGAAAATGTATGAAAATAAAACTCCACAGGTGACACAAAATTTTATATTTTTTTGGATTTGTACAAAAATATTTTGCAGCAAACATACAAACCAGTAAAAATAAAAACAATAGTAACATTTAAAGGCATCTGAAATATTGTAACAACAAATATGCATGAACCTTGCAATGCTGACTAAAGTAAAAATTTAAAAAGAAAAAACTATATACTGACAAAAATGCTGTAAGGTTTATTTTTAGAATAAGATTTGCATCAAATTAAGATTTTTACGCCAATACAGAAAAATTTATGACATTATATAAACTGTAGGTGTTGGCAAATCAAGCATGTATTGTGGGATTGCACTTTAACACAAGCTACAGTATTCCTGGATATGTTATGAACCAGAGTTATTGTGTTTGACAACAAAGCCTGCTTGTAAACAAATTCAGTTAAAAGTTCAACTTGACTCACATACCAAATCAAGACTAAACTGTCTCAGTTTACGGTAAAAATTGGCTTTTATTACTCAGTTTGCTGTCCAAACTAAAGGCTTCAGATAAAAAAAAAATATCCAATTTACAACTAAGCAGATATGAGAAAAGGTGCACTAAGCTTTTGAAAAAAAATTACCAAAAGTCCAGGGAGCTGGTTAGACAGTTAAAAACAAATTTCACTCAACTGTGTTTCAATAAGACACAAAAACAAGAAGTACTTAAGAAATGCCTCATTCAAAGTTTAGAGTTTTCAACCGTGAAACTAAGACTAAACCTAACATAGTGCTTTATTGGGTACCTTACAATGATAATTTGGGTTTCTTTTAGAAGGGCAGAGATAAATTAGCTGATGCTGAGGAATTCAGAATTGTCTGAAGACCCTGGCAGGTGACCAGCCAGTTTTTTTTGTGTGTGTTTTCAATCAGTGAACACACCATGCTTATCATTACCAGGCTTGTGCTAATAACACTGTGATGTGGACGCTGAAGCTGAGCGGTTAGCTATTTTTATTACCAGTGGGGTGTTTACCATGAAGCTAAAGGAAACACAGAGATGTATATAAGCTATTTGAAATAAAGCTCTATTTTCAAAAAACAATCTAGAAAGATTTAGTTAGGTCAGGCTGTGAGTAAGAGGGCAAGATTTAAAGCTAATACAGGAAGGCTAAACCGAGAACAGCATAGTTGTCTTATCTTTTTGAGCTTTCAAAATGTGAGCAACAAGCTGGATTTGAAAAAGTTGCAGATTTAAGAAATCTTAAGGGAAAGTTAAGGCAAGAATCCAAATTCTTTAGAGACTGTTATTTTAGCAATGCTAGCTGTGCTAACCATGCTAATAACTAACATTCTTGTGCAGTAGCCTCACTAATATAAGTAGCTGATTATTGCTTCTGGCAGCAAGATGAAGCTCTTATATATTAATGTGTTACAGATTTTAAAAGGGAATTGTAAAAAGCTAAATGGATGTAGACAACTTCACAAAGTGAAATTCGGAACCAGCCACCAATTTCTGATCTGTGTAACTCTAGTCTCCTTGAAAGACATGAATTTTTGTGCGTGTATGTGTGTATGTGTGTTGTGGCAGTAAGGTCTCTAACTTTTTTGTGAGTTACAGGTCTGAGCTGGACGTTTTCAAGTTGCCATCCAGGTTGTTTTTCACAGCTATCATAGAAAGCAGAGCATTCTTTGACGTGAAAATACCTTGTGATAAAAATGGGACTTTTGTATTCCCTTGAACATTTTCACATTTTTTCATGTTGCAACTTCACAGTTTGATGTGTTTTATACACAATTATGGACTACTTTGTACTGATCCATCACATAAAATTCACTGAGGATTCGGGATATAACATAGGAAAATGTGAATAGTTCAGAATACTGAATTATTCAGAATACTGAACTATTCACAGTGTAAAAGCTCCATAAGGCCACAGAATGCACAATCTTTTGCAGTAGCATTTTCAACTCCACCAAGTGGAGTATAAAAGAAACTTTAGTTGAAAACAAGAAGGAAAAAAAATATGATGCACTGCCTATTAAAATGCACAGAAACAATGCAATGGCACAATAATAAACATATGTCTTCCTACAAGTCCTTGACTGGTGTAAAAATATCAGGTTGTTCATACAATATCATTTATGTACATACAAAGCAATCACTTTCCATTTACTTTGTAAATGAGTTTTTAGTTTCTTTTTTTCAGATGTTGGATGCTTTAGTTGTTGGACACCACAGAAGTTATCTCTGCTGCTTCAGAGGTTGGAGGTCAGGTCTTGGTTTGTGCATCCTTATCCTGACTCTTGCTGCCCCACAGGCATGAGGTGACAGGTTTCCGTCTGTCGGTGAGACGGCACCTCGGCGGGGACCTCGGCGCTGCAAGTAGCACGGCTGGTCTCCACGATGGAGGAGGTTGTGTGACAGTTGAAGTGATGGCTGACGAACGGAGTTTCTCCCAAACCTGTTTTCCCCCAGGCAATCTTCCACTGAACCCACTTCCTGCGCAGGGCTGTTTGGGCCTGCACATGAATTCAAACACATGTTTCTGGATTGCAGGTTTAAAGCAGCCATGTTGTAAAACTTAAAAAAAAGTTTTGCTTGGGAAACCCTCATCCAGCTTTGAAGTGTGCTCAGGAGCTCTTGAGTGATAAAAGATGTGTAAACTAAGTGAGAGTATGTAAAAGTGCACCGTAACCCTAACCCAGGGGTGGGCAACTCCAGGCCTCGAGGGCCGGTCTCCTGCAACTTTTAGATGCATCTCTACTTCAACACACCTGAGTCAAATAATGAGGTCATTAGCAGGACTCAGGAGAACTTGACTGCACTTAGGAGGTTATTCAGCTGTTGGATTCAAGTGTGTTGGACCAGGGTGACATCTAAGAGTTGCAGGACACCGGCCCTCAAGGACCCAGATTGAGGGCCGGTGCCCACCCCTGGGTTAGGGTTACGGTGCACTTTTACACCCCAGTAAATGCCCACCCCTGCCTATGGCAGGGGTGGGCATTTACTGTTGCCCCTTTGGCAACAGTAAATGTTTTTTGAAGAATGGAAATTGTAAATGTAAATTGAAGAATGGAGGATTTTTTTAATGTTGCTACTTATCAAGATTTGATGTTCTCCTGTATATCTCCTGGAAAGAATATATGAACATTCAAATGATAAAATTGAAATGCTCAATTCCAGTAAGAAAGCAATAAGGGTTGCCATGGCAAAGTACATTAAATATGATTTTTTTTCCTTGAAAACCTTTTTTTTAATCTTGAACAACATGCAGACATACAGAAATACATGTTAAGAATAAAAGTAAATTAAGCTAAAAGATTATAAGTAATTTAATTCTTATTTTCTATTACATAAAGTTGAATATTTTTTTCACAGAATTGGATAAGGTTGAAATAGATAGATCAACATACCTCTGCATTGCAGAAACAGAGAATAATTGACACAAGGAGTCCCTATAAAATAAGAGACAGTTTATTAAACAATTCGTAACAGAGACAAATAAGATTATCATAATATTGCAAAAAACACATGAAAAAGCAAATTAATTATTAAAAGTACTCAGTACTTATAACAAACTACAAACCGGATTCCAAAAAAGTTGGGACACTAAACAAATTGTGAATAAAAACGGAATGCAATGATGTGGAGATGGCAAATGTCAATATTCTATTCACAATAGAGCATAGATGATAGATCAAAAGTTTAATCTGAGTAAATGTAACATTTTAAAGGAAAAATATGTTGATTCAAAATTTCAGTGTCTGCAAATCCCCAAAAAATTGGGACAAGTAGCAATAAGTGGCTGGAAAAAGGAAACTGAGCATACAACAAACAGCTGGAAGACTAATTAGGTCAACTGACAACATGATTAGGTATAAAAAGAGCTTCTCAGCGTGTCAGTGTCTCTCTGAAGCCAAGATGGTAAGAGGATCACTGTGACGGCCCTGCCGTTTGGCAATTGGGGCTGGTTAATTGTTTGCCATTTAAGGTCCTTGATTGTGGGAGGTGCTGCTGTCACCTGGTTTGGATTTAAGGAGAGAGATCCCAGGCTGTTGACGCAGGGGTCCAGACATATGGGTCTACTACATCTTGGGCAGCCGCCCTTATTCCCCTAGACATCATGTTTTTTAATAAATGCCTCTAAAAGGCTTAAAATGCTGGTGGTTGTCGTGTCCTCCCTGTTTCTTGTTGCGGCCCACCGAGCCAGGCCGTAACAATCACCAATTCCACCATTGTTGCGCAGAAAGATAGTGCAGCAATACCAGAATGGTGTTACCCAGGGTAAAATAGCAAAGACTTTTAAGTTATCAACCGTGCATAACATCATCAAAAGATTCAGAGAATCTGGAACAATCGCTGTGCGTAAGGGTCAAGGCCGTAAAACTCTACTGGATGCTCGTGATCTCCGGGCCCTTAAACGTCACTGCACCTCAAACAGGAATGCCACTGTCAAGGAAATAACAGAATGGGCTCAGGAATACTTCCAGACAGCATCGTCAGTGAACTCAATCCACCGTGCCATCTGCCGTTGCCAGCTGAAACTCTACAGTGGAAAGAGGAAGCAAGCTCGACAAGCTCAGCCGTTTGCACTGGGCCTCACTCCATTTAAAATGGAGTGAGGCAAAATGGAAGACTGTTCTGTGGTCAGATGAGGGAGGGAGAGAGAGAGAGAAGCTTTATTCAATAGGCTCGTGGTCCACAAAGACATAACACACAACACATACAAAATAAAATAATAAAAACAATAAAATAATAAAATCTTAGAGACTTGCATACCAATGATTCCACAGAGCCGACTGGTATCTTAGCGCACTAACAGAGGGATGTGAAAACATTACAATAAGACTGTTCAATGAGCTGCACAAACGATGCATATACTTGTATATCAAGTTTCTCATGAGTGCCTGAAATGTTCTGACATGTGAATTACAGAACATCTCACTTGCACTGCTAAACCTGGGTTTCTTAAGCAGAATTCTCAGGGAATCATTATAAGCAACCTTAAGCTTCTGCATGCTAGCTTTTTTAAATTTACACCACAAAGGAGCTGCATACAAGGATGTACAATAAGCTTAAAACAAGCTTATTTTTACCTCATCAGTGCACATGTAAAACTTCCTCCCCAGAATGTTAGCCTGGGCGTACAACATGTGACACTGCCAATAAATGTCATCATCATCCTCATCATCACAGAGCTGGTCTGTGATGTAGTGATCCAGATATTTAGTTTTGGAACAAACATTTAACTTTAGTCCTGACAGAAAAAAATCAGGGAAACAGAGTTGTCTGCTTTAGACCTACATATTAGTACAACAGTTTTCTTAGCATTATTCTGTACATTAAATCTCAACCCATAATCAGAGCAGATATTCAGTAACTGCTGAAAACCAGCACAGCTGGTTTAGAGGACAGCCAGGTCATCAACATACATAAAGTGATTGACCAGGGTATCACCAATCATACATCCAGTTTTACAGAGGTTCATTTCTTTTGACAGGTCGTCCATGTACAAGTTAAACAGTGCAGATGAAATAAGCCCACCCTGATGCACACCGTCTCACACCAAAGGAAGCAGAGATGTTATTGCCCCATTTTACATGCATTTTCTGGTTTGAATACCAGTAAACTAAAATTTGTATAATGATATCTGGAACACCTCTCTGTTGTAATGTGTCAAATAACTTGTAGTGATTGACACAATCAAAGGCCTTAGAGGCATCAATAAACCCAATTAATACAGATGAATTTTTTCTTAGATATGTTCTTGCTGCTTCTTTCAGGCCATAGATGCAGAAATCAGTTCCCAACTTGGCTTTGAAACCAAATTGATTATCTGTTGTACTAATAAACTGATTGAGATGACCAAGCAAGATTTTTTCTAATACTTTAGATATCACACTTGCTAAAGCTATTGGTCTGTAGTTATATTAAGGCTACCAACCTTGCTAGTTTTGTCCTTAGTTACCGGCACAAGGGTGATAGGTAATAAGGAATCAGGCAACTGTCCATGGGTCATAAACCCAGAGAAACGCATTATAAGGAGCATAGCCACTTTTTGGCTAGCATATTTCAAATGTTCTGCTGTAATGCTATCAGAACCTGTTACCTTATTCTCACACAAGTGAGCTATAGCCTGCTGGACTTCACTAGGGGTTATTATAACCGTATCACTCTTAGCAATATTTCCCAATCCATAGGGTTCACTTTTTACACAGTTAAATAAGGCAGAGTAGTGCTGTCTCCATAGCTCTGCTATATTATGAGCCCCAGACATACCCTCTATGGTACTGGGGAGTAATGCATCAGACCTGTTTAAAGCTCTGATATCATTCCAAAAGCCAATGGCATTATTACAAAGCAGTTTGTCAGCCATGGAGTCTGCTCTCATGTTCTACTCACATTTGGAAATGTATCGAATGGCATATTTACATTTTGCACTGGTAAGTTTTTTATAATCTAGGAGAGTCCCATCTCTTGGTCTACCTGCTTGTACCCATGTGCACATCTTATTGCTTGTTTGGCTTCTGCATGGTATCCTGACACATGTTTATTCCAACCTGGCCTGATGTTATTAGTCTTTCTCCATGTAAGGTATGGTCTTATACTTTCATACAAAGCACAGCACCAACGATGCCATCATACATAGTATGGAGATCTATACCACTGCAATTAACACCTGAGCACATAATAGATTGAAGAGGAAGACCTATTTTACTCAAAAGAATATTAGTTTTCATATGATATACTAATAAGTCATCTTTAGAGAGTCTGGACCATTGAAATTTAACTGTGGGGGCACTATTTACCCCCCATATAAACTCTGGAAGACTTTGAATATCCAGCATAATTAAAAATGGAGCATGATCTGACATAGAATATTCATATAAGATTTCTATTGATTTTACAACAGTATGGGCATCAGCAGAGCTAATGGTCAAGCCATGACGTTGTATGCCAAGCTTCACGTATATATATATATATATATATATATATATATATATAGCTATCTGCAGGTAGCAGGAGCTGACTGGACAATATAAAACTGTTATCACAAAACTGATGCATATGTTTGGTAGATGAAAAGTGCTCATCAGATATATCTGTATTCATATCATCTACTACATACACTGAGGTAAAACAATGATCATCAATAAAAGAGTTCAAGAAAGCAAGTCTATTCAAATAAATGTCTTCATTCTGGGGACACTATTATGGTGTGTAGATATTAATAATGACAAATTCTTTGTTTTCAACTTTTAAATGTACAACAATACACCAGTCAACACCAGTTCTGATGACATTTAGAACTGGATCCAGCTTTTTGTGCCATAGAATGGCTACTCCTCCTGCGATTCGTCTTCTGACTATACCCATAGAAAGATCCACAGTAGATTCACCAGCTCCACAGAAACAATCATTAATACAGTTCAAACTTCCCAAATCCTGTTTAGATGGAAAAGTCTCGTAAACAAAGGATTTTTGCATTTTTGCAACAGTCTATCCACAACCAGAGGTCGTGCTTTATCTCCAGCTGTATTACCGACACGCAGTCCCCGGCAGTTGTAAGGAATAACACGCATTAGTCCAGAGGTTCCCAAACTGTGGGACGTGGCCCCTAGGGGAGGGCGCCGTGCCATTGCAGGAGGAGCGCGGGAAGCCGTCTGGATGAAAAAAAAAAAACATGAACGCTGTATGCGCTGGGTTTTTACCTTAGAATGGCCAACTCTCTGTTATTCCTATGTCAATTTGATACAGTAGGGGATTCCACACTTCCCATATCTGTGTCCTCTGTCACTTTGATCAGTATTTAAAGCTGTTTAAGCCGTTAACATGTGGTAACCTGTTTTTCCGAGCCGCCTTTAAACGTAACATGAGCGCTATGACGCTCATGCTTGGTTTACACCTGTGTGGCAGCGAAGGAGACCTAGTGCTGCTGTGCAGAGCTACGCAGGTGTGTTAGGATCATGGCAGCAAACCAGCAAAACGCAAAGAACTTTTC